TCTATGGCTTAATAATGCTCCAGTTCACAAGATGGGTATTAGATTCATATGTTTCAAATTATTAATATAACTTACATATATGTTATATACATTCTTACATATATGTTATATACATTGATTTATAAAAATAAAAGATATATAATAAATGTTTTAGGAAAATAAGAAGGTAGAAATAAATCAAAATATGTCAATGATCACAATAAATGTAAAGAGACTAAATTCACTGGCTAAACACATGGATGGTAAGATTATACGTTAAAAACAACAACAGATCTAGCTAAACGCTCTTTTTTAAAAGACACACATAAAACATATGAACACAGAAAGATAGAAATTAAAAAGACGGAAGGAGATATTCCAAGCAAGAGGTCACTATGTTAACATCAGACAAATAGACTTTAAGGCAAAAATTAGGAATATCTAATATCCTGATGTCCAACATTAGGAATCAAGAGAGTCTTTACAAAATCACCAGAAAGTTATAACTTATTTGAATCTGTACAACATAGCTTCACTAGGTATAAAGTAACACCCAGCATAATTACTAGGAGAAATGGATAAGTTCACAACCACGGTGAGTGGGAGATTTTAACACAGCAAGTGAGTGGCAGATGCAGGTTTGTGCTTGGATCTGCCTCTGCTATTCTGTCCCTCCTAATTTCCTATGTGACTATGAGCAAGTCTCTTCCTTTTTTTTAGACCTCAGTTTCTCATATCTGAAAAGAAAGGACTGGACTGGATGGGTAAGGATTCCACGAAATATCCACACTTCCATGCCAGGCAGTGTCTGGGACAAGTCTTTGTCACCTGATGGATGCTTCCGAGCCCACTGGCAGCTGGTGCTCTTTACTCAGTGTGTCCCAGGAGAATCTATCACCTGCTGTTTTCCCTGACAATGCCACCTCCCAAATCCCCCCTTCCCATCCCAAGCACCTTTACACATACAGGAGCTTATAAACCTCTTGGTCAGCTAAAGGGCTAACAGAGCAAAAGCACAGCCTGGTCGATCCAGCTTCTGGGAACTGCACGTCTGGTTTGCTTCTGGAAGTCAATTAGGCGGTGACAGAGTGAGGAAGGCAGTCCAAGCTGACTCCTCTGGGAGGCTGGCATTAATACAGGACAGATGCCTCTGGAAACATGGAAGGGGCCATCTGGGAAAACTGAGAGTGCAGCTTCCCTAAGTGGCAATTCCAATTGCAGCCTAAGGAGGACTAATTGGGCAGTGCTGGTGTGGTAACAGGGGCTGGTTTGGTTGGCCTGACAATCACTGGTGCAACACTGGGCTAGCTGCTGCTTGTCTCTGCGTCTCTTCCTCACCTCTAAAGTGATGGGACTGGGTTCTAACCTCTGAGCCTTTCCCAGCTCTGGTAGAGACTGAGAACTCTGAGTCTTGGCGAGATAACTCTTTTATTAATTGACTTTTTACTAAGTAGGAAGAAGGGAGGCAACTAGCGTTTACCAGATGCCTACTAGATGCTTTACACAAGTAGTTTCATATAGTTCTCTTCACACACCTATTATTATTTTAATTTTACTAATTAGAACTGAGGTTCAGAGGGGGAATACTTTGGACAGTAGTATTGACAGGATTCAAACTCAAGTCTTGACACCAGAGACTGTGCGTTTTCTACCGTAACCAACCGACAGTGGCTAGGACATCTCCATTAAGAGGTCAGATGGATCTACTGTGAATTTTTCTTCCTGTAAGGTGGAACTCTTCCAGAAAGGGCTAGAAGGAAGGAGAAGTTGTTGGTAAATGGCTGACACAGGATCTTCAAAAATCCACAAATATCTGGTGATTGACGTGGGAACAACACAAATACACAAATATCTCGGCAAGGGATGCTTAGCAGGCCATCCTAAGGTAGAGCCTGCAGTCAACAGGTCATTCATTGCTGCACCCTTTATCAAATATTTTCTGAGCAGTTACTGTGGGACAGGCCTGAGATGCTGAGGGCACAGCGATGAGCAACACAGACCCAGTCCCTGCTCCTTTAGTCCTCCTGCTAAATTCTCAGTAGCTCAAGTCTACTGAGAACTCAGAGGAGTCAGTGGATAATGCATTACAACATGGTGTGAAGGTGCTGTGATGGGGGAGTACTTGTCATCATGGGGGCATGGGGCTGGCACCCTCCTACTCCCCAGACAAAAGAGTTCAGGTGAGTTTCCCAAGAATATAACTGATTAATGATCTTCTGTTTAGAAATATTTTGCCACATTTTCCCCTTTATAATTCTGAGAATCTTCAGGATTTGTGACTAAACAGATGGTGGGCAAGGAAAGGAAAACTAAAGGGATAAAGAGCTCTTCTTTATCCAGAACCTGTAAGAGGCAAGTCATGGTGCTAAGCATTTTACACACAGCATGATTCTCAGAAAAGGAACAAAGGAAACGAAGAATATTCATGGTCTGAAATCCACTTAGAACTGTTATTTGCTTCTATGATGCCCAAATAAGATCCTCAATTCCCCTGAATAGATCCCTGCCAGGGCCCTGTTGCATCTCTGTGCTACCTCCATGGTGTTGGAAGTGGCACAGTTGGTGTGACTGGAGCAGGTTGGGGTGGAACTTGGGAAGGCAAGCCAAGATGCCATTGAACATTTTGCCTGGAAGAAGAGTATCTTAATAGAAAGGAGAAATAATAAAATGGAAGCATAAAGTGAATACAGAAGTTGAACCATACACCCACAGGCTCTCTGACAGACATATCAAGGCATCAAAATCCTGTCTGTGCTTGAGGCCCTACTAATGTCAGGGTGCTCACCACCTCACAGGCAGCCTATACCATTATTGCCCAGTAGTAATTATTCCTGAAGTTGTTCCTGAATTATTCCTTTACAAGGAAGCCACATGACATGCCTTCATGTCAATTCCATTCATTGGTCCTAATTTTGCTCTCTGGAGTGACCCAAAGTAAGTCCCACACCATTTCCGTGTGACAGCTTTTTACTCCTCTCATATGCATCTCATATGCATATGTTGAGACAGAAATGTCTCAACACACGGCCATTGCTGTAGTGTTGTCCATTATTACTAAGGGGCTAAGTGTCCTTAGTATGTCTCTCTGTGTCCAGTCTCTCCCTTCTAATCTATCTTCCCTATTCTTGTTAGATTTCTTTTTCCCAAACTGGGTTACTTTCTATTGGTTAAAGTTCAAATGCCTTGTCCTTCCTGCCCACCACTGCTGGTCCTCACCTGCCCAACCTGTCTTTCCTGCCTCATCTCTCACTGCATCTTTACACCAGTGGCATGGGTTGTATCTCTAGTCACTGTGGGCAACTTGTTGTCAAGAATACCTTGCGATTTTCTGCCTCCTTATTTTCACTTGTTCCATACTTATCCTTTCTCTGGAAGGTTCCCTACCTCACCCTCTATGTTCAAATGAGATTATTTACATCTCAGGAAAAGCCCAGACTGTACTTTTAGACCTAATACATTTTTGTCTCAGTCTGGAGTAAGTCATTTCCATGCATCCTCTGAGAGATCGTCCTTCAGGAAGATGGCTCAATAGTAGCAACCTTCTGGAAGACTGATCTCATGGCGGTCTTTGAAGTTATCTGGAGGGAAAAAGACCGAAAGTGGAGAAACCACTACATTTCCTAAGCAGCTGTGTCACCTCGGGCAAGTTACTACATCACAAAGAGCAGGGAAGGTTGTAGAAAGCTGGTTTTGAAGTAATTAAGCTGATTTGCCCACAGATCACAGCATCGGAGGAAGTAGTTACTCTCCAATCTTGCAAAAATTGTTACATGTCTATTACGTACACCTCATGATATTAAGTTTGGGACGAAGGTAATTCCTACTGAAATTAGAAATCAAAATGCAATTAGAACTTTCTAATTAAGTTGGTATAAATATTTATGAGTATCATGCACATTTCAAACGGCTGGAACACCAAATGTCTCTGAATGTGCTGAGGAAGAAAAACGTAGTGCTCAGTCATTCCATCCTGGCAAAAAGGTTGGATCCCCAAAAGGCCGAACACACACAGAGCACATGCATGAAAACACACTCATACACACACAGCCATCATCTCTTCCCTTGAGCACCTATCACCATTGGTATGCTCAGAAATAGCTACTCCTTTGGACTTTCAATGTTGGCACAATCACTGGCCCATTGGGCCAGTTATAGCTACATTTTATATAGTCTTTCTAACTCAGAACTTTGGAAATATATTGCATTACTCATCATACAAAGCATTGTTAGCTGGCTCATGAAGCTGATATGGTGTCTAGAGCCATCACTTGGCTTGGGTAGGAAACCACTTAATTGTGAGGACAGAAGGCAAGGGCTTCAATTCTTGCTCTTCTAGTCACCGATCCTGTGTGCTTGAGTAAGAGTTTTATGCTTTCATACCTCCAGACAGGTCTAGTCGGAGCACTTTCCCTCTTAGGGCTGTTGTGAGGATATATAAAAATAACTAATGTGATACTACTTAGGAAAGTTCAATAGAATGATGCATCTAGGTATTATTGTTGCTGATGTAATTATTATTTAACCCTACTAGCTGATGGATTAACACACACAGAAGAAACACATCTTAAACCATAACACTTGAACTGGAAAAGTTGGGAGGATGGAAGCCTGGGCAGGGACCAGATAAGAAAACAGGGGAGATGGCCTGAGAATGGATGAATTAGTCAGGAGTCAGGGAAGGATTATTTTTACAAAGTCAACTGGGAAATTGCCATAATTCCATGCATCCGCTGAGACATCATCCTTCAGGGAGATGGCAGTGTTGGGGCCCAGGGCAGGCCACCCCAAAATATCCCACAATGGCATACTGATTATTTTGAATTAAAGTTACTTGAGAAGCAACCACTGCAAAGAAAGTCTCTGTTCTCCTGAAAGCAGGAAATAAATCTCCCATGTGAAAGGTGCTCTCCCTGCATCCTTGTCACCAGAGCTAGGGAATTCAGAGCCGAGAAGCCTGTATAAACAACCTTGCTAATTTACTACCTCAAGCCTAAACTCTGCTTAAATTCCTCACTAATTACATACCTCTGACCTAAGTTTCTTTGTCCTTTTGTTCCTCATAAATTTATTGTTTCTTTGTGTAAAAGATATATGTATATATGTATATGTATACTCCCTGCTTTGTTCACTCTTTGAGCATCATTTCTCTACCATCTCCAATACATACATATTAAATTGAGTTTTTCTCCTGTTAATCTGGTCTTGTGTCACTTTTATTATGAGTCCAGCCATAAGAACACAAGAAGGGTAGAAGGGAGAAATCTCCCCCTCCTCAACAGTTTTGGTGAGGAAGCCAGGAGCATCATCAGCTTGGAAACCGCTGTCTCCCTAAGGCTACTGCAGCTAAGAGATCCTGGGTCATCTGACACAGACAGCAGCAGAAAGAAAAAAGGTAAGCTTTCTTACCGTGTCGGCCTCCCAGATCTCCACGTGCAGGATCCAATGGGAACGAAAGTGGTGAGAGTTTCCTTTTTCTCTCTCTAAATTTAGATTAGCAGGAGAAAATATTTGTGAAACTAGTTTCTTGGGCAAAAGCGACTCTAGTAAAGATTTGGGATGAATACTCTTGATTTTGTTGATCCTCTCCTCCCAGAGATGGTCATTTGTCTCTGCCAGCTGGAGGACACACATGTGTCTGGCAGGCAGCCAAACAGACTTGGAGCTTAGGGAATCTGAATGCTTATTCTATTCAAAAGGGGGAAAACACATGATTCTGTGTTTTGGAACAGCTATTTAAAGCAGGGCCCCTCATAAATCTTAGGCTAAATCTGGGTGTCAACTTTTTGGATCTGCTGAGGGCTATACCCTTTGTACTCTCCTTTGGGGATGCCTCTGGCATCAAGGGCCATAAAAAGACTTACTGGTTTGAGTCACTATTAAGATCCTACTCGTCAATGGCCAGATGATGGATCCTTTAAATTGGAAAACTTTTAAACTGAAAAAAATTTCTTGGAGAGCTCTCATATTAGTACAATGGCTAGCCATTGAGACTCCTTTAATAAGAGGGAAAGATGGAAATTAGAACAAAAATCAAAGTCCACTCAGACCCCTTCCTATTTGCCTTCAGATATTTGTAGATATTGTAAAAAAATCAGGGCATTGGAAATACAATTTTCTAGCATTTAAGAAGAAAAGGGGGAAAAATATTAACAGCCAGACTTACGGACTCCCTAAACAAGATGAGAGAATGAAAAATTTAGACTTAAAACAAAAATCCATCATAAAACCCTCTTCTTAAAATAAGGCCCCATCTGCATGTTTTAGCTTCCCTTTTCCTACAGGATTTACAGAAATCACTCTAGCCTAATCTCTAAGCATATACAGGTTACTCATGTAAACACTGAAAGCCAGAAAATTAATTTAGCAGAAGCACCTAGAACAGGCAGTAAAGTTCGCTTTGCTGGACTCCATAATCAGGATCTGCCAGCTTCCCGCCTTCCTATGCGTTATCCTTTGTGCATATATTCTAGAATCCCCTCCCAGGGAATTCATGTCTCCTGGACAACAGCCCTTTTACCTCCACTCAATGGCCATTCTGTAATGCCCAGTCAAGAAAGGAGAATAAAATTTCATGTTATCCCTTCCTTTCCAAATCCGGACCAGTTGATTATCGACCCTTTCTCTCCCAGGGATAACTATTACCTTCTTGCTTGTCTTGTTTCGTGCCGTAAGGACTTAGCTTAACTTTCTGCTTGCCTGAGACATGCAGGCTGTCAGTTCCTTCTTTTAGCTCTCCTTGGAAATGACTCTGGATCCTGGGGGGGGCGGGGGGGCGGTAAGAACCTTTGAGGACACCTCTTGGGTCCATAGAATTGTTTAATTCTGCCAGAAATATTTACCGTTTGTCTGGACTGAGAACCGACAAGATATTTAGAAAGATTATTTTTAGTAACTCTACGGTCAAATATTGGCCAAATTGGAAGCTGATGGGAATTTTTTAATAGGCCTTCTTCCCTAAGTTAAAATAAAATTATGTACTCAGAGGGAAAGAAACAAATTAGGGATAATGTAATTGGACAGGTAGATAAATGGATGATGTAATGTAAGTTACAACCCAATTTCTCAGAAATTGAGAGCAACTGTCCTTATCTTACAAATCTTTGAAAAACTGAAAATGTAGCTCTAAAGGCAGTTCAAATTCCACTCATTCCCTTTCACCAATCCTCAAACCTCGCCTACTTATCTCAAAAGGCTTATAACCTCTCTGGGAACCCTTATTTATACCAAGCCCAATTCCTAAGACTAAAGGAAAATTTTAAGTTGCAATCACCCTGAAACTCCTAGGAAAAAACTTGCGTTTTTTTCTCTATGTCCTTTGAAGTTATAAAATTTTACCATGTCTTTAGGATGTAAACACCCTATAGATAACAGCCCACAATTGCCTGGGACTAGACTAAACTCGGCTAGCTCAATCCATAAAGCCTGAGGTTTAAAAAAGAAAAGGGGAAAATGTTTTGTTTTAAAAATGAAGTTACTAGAGAGGATCTCTTACCAACATCAATTCACAGCCTCCTTGTCTAGGGCAAATATAAATCTTAAAAGTCTTCTCCACAAATATTAACGAAAACAATCCTTTTAAGCAGATAACCTTAACTTGTTCCATCTGCTCGAGACACAATTATTTATAAACTAGTAAAGTTTGTATTGTACCTGATTTATGGCTGAAATCTTTTTTTGTTTGTTTTTTGTGAGGAAGACCAGCCCTGAGCTAACATCCGATGCCAATCCTCCTCTTTCTTGCTGAGGAAGACTGGCCCTGGGCTAACATCCATGACCATCTTCCTCTACTTTATATGGGACGCCGCCACAGCATGGCCCAACAAGCGGTGCGTCGGTGCGCGCCCGGGATCCGAACTGGCGAACCCCGGGCCACCGCAGCGGAGCACTCGCACCCAACCGCTTGTGTCACGGGGCTGGCCCCTATGGCTGAAATTTTTAAAGTAAAAGCTATAAGACCTCTATTTGTGTCTGTCTATATATGTATGTATGTTATAGATATGGTACTTTTCTACTTCTAGATGGTATTATCAAAATTAATTTCTAAAGAGCTCTATTTAATTAACTTAAAGTAAGCACTTATATAAATTATTTCTAAATATAATAGAAACTGACCCAAATGTTTTTCACGTTAATGTGATATAAAATAATCTTTGGTAAATAAAAACTTAAGTTTTTTTGTTTAATTAAAATAGGCATGTCTTCAGAGTTATCAACATTGGATATAATGCAAACATGCAACTTTTATTCTACCTCAGTTATTCAAACAAGCTCATGTTATCTCTGTTACAAAATTTGTCTGCAAGGAAAAAATTAACTGAAGATTATAGCTAACTGCTTTAATATCTCATGAAATTTTCATGAATAATCTAAGTATGATTGTTAAGAACAAATGAATTATATAGATGTTAAATGCAATAAGAATTTTTAGGTGCAATAATTATGTTTTATGATATGTGTACTTAAAAATAGTTTCCCCAAATCTTTTGGTAACTTGAAACTTTAGAGTTTTGCTAAATGAAATTAAATGATGGAAAATTCATTGAATATCTAGATAATTTCAAGCTAAGATAAAATAGTAAAATATTAATTACTGAATAGAGGTTTATCTACTTTTGGCTTCTTGTTACAGAAAAACTAAAAGATAATAATACATTGTTAATAAACATGTTTTGTGCTTTATTGAAAGATTACACTATGAAGAAACATATATTTCTACAAATTATAAAATGTATTCATAAATTTGTCAGTCTAAAGAATATGGGTGTAACATACAATTCACAATTGCTTACTTATTAGTTTTCACTAGAAATTAAGGTTGCTTAGGGTTAAGAATTCTAATTAATATATATGTAATTAAAACTACTAAAAATAATAAGGGAAAAATCTCTGTATGCAAGGAAAATAAGATGTATGTTTTTGGTAAGAAAAGGTATGAGGCATGGAGATGCATTTTTGTTGAGGGAGAGAAAAATAATTTTGTCCCAAAATAAAGCTGGTTATTTCTGAATTAAAAAAAAGAGAAAAAGGGACAAACTAAAATGGACATAGAAAGTTATAGAAGGTTTATGTAGAAGGAATCTTGGAAAAGGGTTTTTATGTGTGGTCAGGGCTAACTAAGATTGGAATGAATTTGAGCTAACTAAGATTGAATTAATTTAATTAAGTGAATGAATTTTAATATTGAAATAAGGTGGTACAAAATTAAAATTTGGTTTTCTCTTTCTGTTAAAAGGAGAGAGAGAGAGAGAAATTTTACCTGGTGTGGTCAAGTTAGCCAAAATCAAATTATTTTAAGAACTTTAAAAATAAGCTTTAATATCAATAGTGTATTTATATAAAACTGGAACTTAATTTTCTCTTAATCTCTTAAAAGAACAAAATTCTCTTGGAATATTGGTCTGCTCCAGAAAAGAGATTATGAAAGGTTTTTTTCTCACTTTTTGTGTTTTATCAGAACTGTTTCCTGTGCTTTATGTCAAAAGCTGAGTCTTTCCTATTAAAAAGAGCCAAGGTTTTACAGCTATGAAACCTTCTTTATTTGTCTTTGAAATCTTTTTGTCACTTTGGTGAAGTAGATAATTAAATATTAAGTTTCATAATGATCTGTGATCCTATTTAGGTAAATATTTTAAAACCTCTTTGATACTTTTGACAAACTTCCCCAAATCAAATTCTAAATGAAGTCTTTTTTGACTTCTAGCTAATTTTGGGGATTTTTCAGAGGATCCTTGAAACATCTTGAAAGATTTGTTCTCTCTCCCTATATAAGAGGGATATTAAACTCATTAGGCTTATTTGATAAGTTAAATTACATGGGAAGTATTGACAAATAGGAAATAACATCAAGCCTTCTTTATGTTATATCTGTATAAGTATACATTATAAAAGTTCCAGAAATTATGTGAAACTCCTGGAAGTCTGATATGCCCTGGTACAAAATGTTGTCAGTCATCAAAATTGATGCTTACACTAAAAGGAGTGAACCTAAATATCAGAAAAGCACCTTAGCTGACTTGCATGCAAAGGCAGCAACAACAGAATCTATAAAGATTATGGCGCATGTAGACAAAGTCCATTCTGCCTCTGCAAAAAAAAAAAAAAAAGAACCCCTCATTGTCATCAGATTTTTGCCCCCCTGATGTCCTTGTAATGTGGTAATAGTCTGATACTGAATCAGAGAAATTAAGATCAGTAAAAAATGGCTGTAAATTAAACAAACAGTTGGGGCTATGGGAAATCCAAGATGACTGCTTTGTTCTTCCCAGCTCTCTGGCAAACCCCATTTTCAGTTCTTACATTCCCTAACCCACTATAGGAAAAACTATTTCTGTCCCCAGGGGCCTCAGAACTCCTCCCTCTGGGTCATTTGAGCACCTGCAGCTGGACTTTATTCAACTGTCACTTAGTATGGGTTATCAATATGTTCTTGTCATTGTATGTATAATTTCTAGATGGTTTGAAGCCTTCCCTTGCCACAAAGCTGATGCCCTTACAGTGGCAAAGAAACTGTTAGAAAAATCTGTTTCCCCTTTGGGGTATACCTTTCACAATCACCAGTGATGAAGGCACCCACTTCACTAGGCAAATCATACAAGCCTTAATGACAATCTTGCCAACTTCTTGGAATTATCACTGCTCCTATCACCCTCAATCGTCAGGCAAAGTTGAGAGAACTAATAGAAAAACTGGATTCAAGCAGAACAAGAATTAATTCATGGGACTAAATGAATTACATGGGACATAATTTTTATGAATTTTTCTCTGAAATATTACTTTTTAAAAATCTTTTATCCTGCCAGATTTTTCTTTTCTCTTAAGCTATCTATGATTTACAGCAATTTGGTGAATTATATCTTTGTAAGCAGAATTGAAACATTTACTTCGTCTCCCTACCTGATCCTTCCAGAATTCAGAAATTCTCAGTGACTATTCTTATTTTCCTGACAATATATTTATTTGCATAAGTTCAATAAGAATCTGTTCTCCTTGAAATAGGACACAATTGGAAACATTGGTTATGTTACCAAGTCTTTGACTGGAATGTCATGTTTGAGAGAGAAATCATAAACTCAGATATGACCAAAGAGCTTTAAGGAATTAAGGTTGATTCTATGAAGCTAATAAAGCCCTTTGGGAAAAAAACAGCCTGGTACCTTACTTACAGGGTTCCTGACAGCCTAACCAGTGAGTAACGGAGGTCACTTCCTGACAGGTACAAGAACGTCAAAATACGTTGGGAGCCTCAAGAAGAGAGAAAATTACCCAAATCTATAGGTATCACAGGTGGAATATTTGGCTTGGCTTCTTACCTTCAAAAGGCTATTAAAAGTTCAATCTGGGGCAGGCCTGGTGGCACAGTAGTTAAGTTTGTGCACTCCACTTTAGTGGCCTGGGGTTCGCAGGTTTGGATTCCGGGTGCGGACCTATGCACTGCTCATCAAGTCACGCTGTGGCGGCATCCCATGTATAAAATAGAGGAATATGGGCATGGGTGTTAGCTCGGGGCTGATCTTCCTCACCAAAAAAAAAAAAAAAAGTTCAATCTGGAGATTTCTTATGAAAAGTTCCAGCAAAGCAAATTTAAAAGAGCCTATACAAGAAATTGCTATTCTTGCTGTACTTAAGTAAATAACTAAGCTAAGTTTATTGAAACTAGACTTATTTTGAAAATAAATTAATCTTGATTTGACTATCTTTGATAAAAATAAGGGTGATTTCAAAAAGAAAAACTTTATTTCAGTAGAAACTACAATACACATTTGTGGATATTGGATTCTAGAGCTGTTAATTTTCCTTGAAGTTTTGTTATTTACTTAAAAACTGGACTGGATCCTAAATTCTCCTAGTTTCCTCAAATATTTGGCTACAACTCTCCAAACTAACATTTCCAGTTTTTCTCCCACTTTTGACTTGGAATCATTAAGAACTAAACCTGCCCTCTTTCCCTGAAGCCCTGCGAACTGAAGCAGAACAACTTGATATAAACTTAAGAGACATCATCACAATAGCCCATATTTAAAAAACCTTTGTGCCTGTTGCTGAGTAAGCCACTCAGAAAGTTTACCTGAATACTTGATGACATCATCAGAGACATTTCAAACTACAAAAGACACTTTGACTCTGACATCTAGAAATCTTCTTGACAGGCTGGCCCCTAGGCTCAGAAACTGGTTTATAATTTGCTCCAACCATTAACCACTGTTTTCCTTTGTTTCCATGTAAATGCCTCTTATTAAATACCTGATTGCTTGCACTGTAGACCTAACTTTGTGAGCCCACCTGCATTACTATCTCCTGAAATGAGACACCACTGTTTTAAACTAAACAGACCTATTCAATGAAATAGTGGAACAATCTACCAGCTCAACTTTTAATATGTGAAACTTTCAGGGAAGTTTCAGAGGAGGCGTTGGCACCCAGGGCAGGCCACCCCAAAATATGCCACAATGGCATGTTGACTATTTTGAATTAAAGTTACTTGAGAAGCAGCCAATGCCAAAAAAAAAAAAAAAAAAAAAAAAAGACATTTTGACCCTCCTATCTCTGTTCCCCCTGAAAGCAGGAAATAAATCTCCCGTGTGAAAGGTGCTCTCCTGGCATCTTTGTCACCAGAGCTAGGGAATTCAGGGCTGAGAAGCCTATATAAACAAACTTTGCTAATTTACTACCTCAAGCCTAAACTCTGCTTAAATTCCTAACTAATTACATACCTCAAACCTGAGTTTCCTTGTCCTGTCATTCCTCACAAATGGAAAGAAATAAATTTATTGTTTCTTTGTGTAAAAGATAAACATGCTGCCTGCTTTGTTCACTCTTTGAGCGTCATTTCTTTATGATCTCCAATACGTACGTATTAAACTGGGGTTTTCCCCTGTTAATCTGGCCTTGTGTCACTTTTATTACGAGTCCAGCCATAAGAATGCAAGAAGAGTAGAAGGGCGGCAGCATTTCCCCCTCCCTGACAGCAGATTGCTTGGGAGAACAATAGCGTGTCAATCGATGCATCAGTCCCTGAATCCATCACACCACAGGTGCTAGGAGGAATACCAAAGAAGAGCCAAGCCTGCTCTAGGGGAAATTACAATTGAATAGAGAAACATGATGTAAACTCAGAAAGTAGAAAAGGACTGTATAATAAATGATGCAAAATTGAGTGAAGAGAAAACACTTTGGTGCTGCCAGCCCCACCCTTGTACCCTGCCAAGAAAGGGTCACTATCTTGTGTCCTGTGCTATTGGGGCCTCACTTAGGCCCTTCCATGACCAGGCCCACCCCAGTAGAGTGAGCAGTCTATGCCCTTCTTGGGATAAAGAAGACATACCCACAAGTGACCCCTCTACCCTGGTCATGCTGTTGTACTTGGGACCCTGGAATTCCCTAGAGCCTAATTCCAGGGCCTGTGTGAGCTTATTCCTTTGGGTCAGTCTCCCCCAGGGTGGACAACGCTGACTGTTTGCCTGTGGGATGGCCAAGGGGCAGCTGCTTATGGGGGCCAGTGTGGAAAGAACTTGGATGCAGAGATCAGGGTGTCACATGTGTGAGACCCCTCTCTGGGTAGGGGACAGAGGCAAAGGTGGGAAGGAAAGTGGACCAGGCTGAGAGCTGTGGCTGGGTTGTCCTGCAAGGCCACGTTCCCACAAAGAACTCCAGATGCCAAGGTTCAAACCTGGCCTTTAGGTCAGTATTAAGGTATGTTTTTTCAAGATAAGAGGATAGAGATTTTAATTAATGGTTTATTAGCTTGGTTTATAACTTTTAAATGTTTAGACACGATATGCAGGCCACACTCTTATCTCTGGCCCACAAATATTGGTGGCAGGCCTGAGTACTACAGTAAATGGGAGAAGGGAGAGACCAACATTTTCTAAGCAGCTGCATCACCTTGGGCAGCTTGCTGCATCACAAGATGCAGAGAAGGCTGTCGGAAGCTGGTTTTGAAGTAATCAAGCTGGTCTGCCCACAGATCACAGCACCGGAGGAAGTCATTATTCTCCAATGTTGCAAAAGGTTGCTACATTATTACTTACACTTCAGGATATTAAGATTAGGAGGAAAGTAATTCCTACTGAAATTGACTGTAAGCATCAGAGAGGACTTCTCCTAGGTGGTGGGATTTGAATTTTGCCTTGAAGTATCTGTCAAAGTTGGGGAAGAATTCCAAGGCACAGGAATGATTGAGCAAAGTCCTGGAGATAATGAGGGTGACCTGGATGGAGTCATTGTGATTTCTTCCAGCCCCAACCACTCTCTCTTCTCCCCCACGTGGCTAAATTCCTAACCTTTTCTTCACATCTTACTGAAGTCTTGCTTCCTCCATAAAATCATCTCCCTTTTCTGATCACCTCTGGAATTCCTTACCCACACCATCAGCACACATGAACATTTTTCAGAGAAACTACTGCATATAGGCGTTACTAGTTGACACTACCCAGTTTAGAATTTAATTGTGAACTAATAGTTTGGGGAGGGTTAGTTTTGTCTCCCTAAAGCTAGAACCTCTTGGAGATTGTAAGGGAGGAAAAATTTTCCTCTACCCTTCAAAGTTCTTCTGGCTGGTCTAAGAATTAAATTGACATGAGACAGGTTAACAGCAGAAAAACAGAAGTTTAATAACACATATTCCTCCCGTGAGAGACCCAGCAAAATTGAGTAACTCGTCAAAATGGCTGAAGCCACTGCCTTAAATACTATCTTCAGCTAAAGACAAAACATCTTAGAGGCGGAGGAGTCAGTTATGAGAGGTTACCAGGAAAAGCACAGTAAACAAGGGTAAGGTTGTTATGCAGATTTAAGTGCTTGCCTTCTGCATTGATAGGAGTTTCTAGAGATAAGGTCATCCCCCTCTTCCTGGTACAGAAGGGGAGACACCCTTGCAAAAATGGAGATTTTCCTTGTACATGTAAATGTCTTTTACAAAGCGTAGCTTCTACTTGGTTCTCAGAGCTTCTCCCATGTCTGCTATTTCTTAAAAATAACCAACCTAAAATAATCCTTATGCCAAAGAGACATATTTTGGGGTGGCAAATTCTGCTCCCTTACACCCCCATATGCAGTCAGTGTTTGAGTCTCATTTATGCTTCCTTTGAAGCATCTCTCATGTTTGTCCTTCCCCTACACTGCCAACACTCTGACCAGACACTTTCCCTTACACATGGACCGTTGAAATAGTGATCTAATCCCCAGCTGCTCAAACCCAGGCTCATGTCCTCCTGGGAATATAGTACAATGGACTGGGCATATGAGACTCTCCAGTGTGATTCATTCATTAATTCACTCAGAAAATATTTATTGAGTGTTCACTACACGCCAAATGCTGTGCTTGGCCCTAAGAATAATTCACACTTTATAAAACTGGCATGATAAATCTTCCAAGAGAGTTGGTTTTACTCAGTAATAAATAATTTAAAACTTTATTTTAATGGATACAAAAATGTACCATGGTGTGGAATACAAAATCTGCATGAGGTTATAAGATAAAACAAAAAGGTTTCACATAAATGTCTAGGCTTGACATGCATAGCTTAGGGCTATGCCCTCAGATTCCCTGGAGCATACATGTTCCCAGTTCTTCTGTTGAAAGGAGCAACTTTGATCCAAAAGTCTGAGAGGAACAGTCATTGTTCCTCCTCCTCCGTTTTCTCTCTTCTCAATCCAAACAACACAGAACTGTCGGAATGACCTTGTCACAGGCCAGTTTCATAGTTACTCTGTGTTCAAATGAAGATCTCTTGATTTTGTAGGGGAGCAGAATTTGCCACTCCAAAATATGTCTCTTTAGCATAAGGATTATTTTAGGTTTGTTATTTTTAAGAAACAGCAGACATGGGAGAAACTCTGAAAACCAAGTAGAAGTTACCCTTTGTAAAAGACATTTACATGTATGAGAAAAAAATCTCCATTTTTCCAAGGGTGTCTCCCTCTCTGTACCAGGAAGAGGGGGATGACATTATCTCTAGAAACTCTTATCAATGCAGAAGGCAAGCACTTAAATCTGCATAACAACCTTACCCTTGTTTACTGTGCTTTTCCTAGTAACCTCCCATAACTGACTCCCCCACCTACAACATCTTTTGTCTTAAGCTGAAGATGGTATCTAAGATGGTGGCTTCAGCCATTTTGGTGAGTTACTCAGTTTTCCTGGGTCTCTCCCATGTATACAGGAGGTACACATGTTATTAACCTTTTGTTTATTTTCCCGTGTTTATCTGCCTCATGTCAATTTAATTCTTAGATCTGCCAGAAGAGCTTAGAAGCATAGAGGAGAAATTTCTTCCTTCCCTACAGGGGCCTAAATGAAGGAATATAATCAGAAATGGGGGAAGTTTCAAAAGGGAGTGGGTATTTAATTCAACTTTGGCATTTGAATATGTGACGACTGTGGCAGATTCAGGTACTCTTGGGTCATCTTTCCCAGGTAGAGGAAATTGTCAATTCAAAGAGTCAATGTAACATGCAAAATATGAAAATCCTCAATCTGGTAGAAGAAACCATCACTGTCTAGACCCATCCTGTTCAGTATGGCTGATGAGTCTTGAAATGTGGCTAATTGGAATCGAGCTGTGCTGTAAGTGTAAACTACACACTGGATTTTGAAGACAGTACACAGACACTAGTACCTGTACCCAAAGAGTATAAAATATCTCATAAATAATTTTTACATTGACTACATGTTGAAATGAAAATACTATGGATATATTAGGTTCAATAATATATAATATTAAAATTAATTTCACCTGTTTCTTTTGTTGATGCAAATCATCAATAACCAATCTACAGATAAGACAGATAAGATGAGTTTTACTTGAGCCAGGCTGAGGACTATAGCCCAGGAAGGCAGTCTCCACAAAGGAAGAAACCATTCTGGAGAAGCATGGTTTTCAGTACAGTTTTATAGCTTTTTAGAACAAAGAACATACATTATACACACCCAGGACACATATTCATCAAAGTTTCAAAGACATGTTTAGTTATAGATCAGTGGGCCAACGTGACCTCGATGTCCAGAAAAGGAGACTTATCTTTAGGAGCACTGATACTGGCATTATAGGAAAGGAAGTATGCATTTTTATCTCCAAAGTGTGCATTCTTTTACTT